GGCCACCGGAGGGGGAGGGAGAAGTGGAAAAGCCTCAAATCCGGACGGAGCCATTGCTACTGCAAAGGGAGGAGCGCTCTCGGCTCAGCTCTTGTCACTGATTGGTCGCCGCGTCTCCCGCCGTGTGTGAAAACACAAATGGCGTGTTCTGGTTGGAGTAAAGGGTCTGTCAGTTACAGGCTCGGGAGTGCGCAGCCGCCTAGGGAGTCTCGCATTGCTCTCTGGGTTGGGTGGGTGGGTAGGTAGGTGGGGAGAGTTGGACCTACGGGCGCGGTCGGCCTCCCGTGGGGTGTGTGCAGGGGGCGGGGGAGGGTCAGTGAAAGTGGCTCCTGCGCGGGCGTCTCGCCACCCTCCCCTTCGGGGGAGTCGGTTTACCCGCCGCCTGCCTGGTCTCCACATCTGATTGGTTGCTGCATCCGGGGAATGGCCCCTTACTATTGGCTCAGGTCCCAACTGAGCGAAACCACTGCGCGGGTTCGGCGGGTTTCTGGGTGGCGGCTACCTCGGCTCCGCCCCGGGTACCCGCCGCCTAAAAAGCTCTACGAGCCCGATCTGCCCCCGGACTGTGGGAGTGAGGAAAGGAGGGGGAGTCGGTCCTGCTGGTTTGTGGATGGGAGGGGCATGTTCTCCCAAAATCGGCACGAGGTGCTACCCTGAAGGAGCGGCAGTGGAGGCGGAGAGAAGCCGCGCCCTTCCAGACTGGGGGAGGGGAGTGCCGCACTACCTTTATGGGAGTTCTCTGTTGTCTCCGGTTTAAGGACCGCCCTGGGCCTGGAAGAATCGCTCCCTCCCCCACGATCTCGTCATCGCCTCCATGTCGAGGCTCCTAGAATCTAGATTATGGACGGGATTCCTTTGCCCAGGTTTAACCTGGTGCCGGGGTCTTGTCCTGCAGGGTTTTGAGCTGGTGTCAGATTTTGAGGGTGACCCCAATTTCTGTCTTCCCACCGACTTGAATTTGTGTCACAAAGTAATTATGGAAGGCGTGGAGGAGGGAAATGGAGTCCAGGCATTCACCTGGGACTGGTTTTTACAGCAAGACTGCGTGTTATTACTACTTCAAATCCTTTTTGTAGCTTTTTCCTGGGGATAAAGTGACAGACCAAAGGCAGACTGACTTTTATACTCACCCCATTAGAAACCCTTACTAAACCTTAAAATTTTATCTCAAAATTTTAGGCCCCCTTCCTTGCATCCCCAGGATCAGGCACCTTAGCAACTCTCACTCATATTTTGAGCCCATTTTCTGTTTGTTGTACTTGTTCATCCAGTCTCCAGACATACCATTGGCTTTCTCCTCTCCTCTCCTGTTTTGGTATGGGTGAGTCATGAAACCAGACAGATTGGTTCCAACACCAATTAAGGCCACCCAACCTGAGCAGAGGCCTCACTCTTAACCCAGTATTATCTTTTTCCTCAGCTGGGATTCTCCCACGTACAGGTGACCTTGACTACTGCTTCACTGAGAATTAGACATGAGTTTCAGCAACATACCCTTTTTTATCTCCTTTGAATAACTTTTAAGTCCATCCCATGATTTCTGTTCTCATCGGTTTGTTACTGAGTTCATTTGCCATAAACCAGTTGGCTCTGCCTCCTGTTACCTCTTCTGATCCATCTTACATGTTGCCAGGACAATTGTTCTAACGTAGCAGGAGCCTCCAAATGACTGATACAACTCCTTCACTGGCGCCTAACTACTTACAGGATGAATTCCATCATCACTGATCTACAAGGTCCCTCAATGGGCTAATTTCTGTTCTTACCAGCCTTTTCACTAGCTGCAGTTTTTCACATCACACCAACAGTACCTCTCTGTTCAAGTCACACTGAATTGATTACTGTTTACCAAAATCATAGTTACATAGTCATACCATTTTGTAGGGTCCTGTCTGCCTGAATGCTAACTTTGATGGTCTTTACCCTTCAAGACTTAAGACTCGGGCATCATCATCTCCCCTGTGATCTTGCCTTCTCTGATCTATCGTTCTAATAGCCAGACTCCCTATAAAAAAAATAGCACTGCTTTCTCCTGATCCCATAACAAGCATGTTGAATCATAGCACTTCTCAGGTTGTTGTCATTGCTTGTTTGAATTCTCTTAACTATTCTGAGCACAGGCTCTTGTTGAGTCTTGTAGTAACACTAAGCTTCTAGTATATTCCTTGATGTGTAGCCAATCCTAAGTAAAATAGAATGACATGTAGATGTCTTTGTACAGTTTGATAGATTATTGTGGTCTCTTAAACAGTTCTTTGTGTGCTTGCTAGCGTTCTAGATTAGCACTATCCAATAGAACCTTCTGCAATTATGGAAATGTTCTCTATCTGTGCTGACCAATGTGGTAACCACTAACCATATATTAATACTGAGCACTGAAAATATGGCTAATGTGACTAAAGAACTGAATTTTTAATTTTATGTAATTTAAATTGTATGGGCAGTGTAGTTATAGCCACAAACTTGTGGATTGCAAGATACTTAATATGGATGTTGATAACTTTCTCATCATGCTGAGCAGTAAGGAAATAAAGTTGGACTTCTGTGGCTCTTTTAGGAGTTTCCCCCCCGGCTTGTTTTATTTTACCTGTTTCTGTACTTCAGCTGAACCTAGCTGTGAGCTAAATCCAACAAGCCCTTACTAAAAATAAGTCTTCCTTGGACAACAGTGTGTTGAGAAAACAAGTAGTGACTAGTTTGTATTTCAAAAGAGAATGCATAATGAATTTTAGGAAACTGGGATTTCATGAAACCATAATGGTAATAAGACTATGTATGATGTTAATGAACACCAGCTTTAAAGTTCAGTCCTCCAAGTTTTCATTTTTGGAAAAACTTCCATCAGATGAGGCCCTAAGTATCATATTTTAAGTTACAGGAAACATCACAAAGTTAAGTTTCATCTTGATGAAGTATAAGTTAATAGATATATTTTAACACTAAAATGCTTTCTGAGTTATGTACTAATACAGCATCCTACAGATTTCAATTATTTATTTATTTATTTTAGCTTGGAAATTGAGATTTTTATTTTTTTTAATTAAATCTTTATTGTTCAGATTATTACATTTGTTCCTCTTTTTTCCTCCCACAACTCCCCTCCACACAGTTCCCACCCCAGCCTCCACCCTCACTCCCCACCCACGGTCCTCATCCATAGATGCACGATTTTTGTCCAGTCTCTTCCCACATCCCCCAAACCCCTTTCCCCCCCAAGAATAGTCAGTCCATTCCCTTTCTATGCCCGATTCTATTATAATCACCAGTTCATTCTGTTCATCAGATTATTTATTCACTTGATTTTTAGATTCACTTGTTGATAGATGTGTGTATTTTGTCATTTTTTTGTTCATATTTTTTTTTACCTTTACTTTTTCTTCTTCCTCTTCCTAAAGAATACCCTTTTTCTTCTTCCTCTTCCTAAAGAATACCCTTCAGCATTTCATATAATGCTGGTTTGTGGTGGGTGAAGTTTGCTGTCATTATTTCTTCAAATAGGTTTTCAATATCTTGCTCTCTCTCATCTTCTGGCACCGCTATAATTCTGATGTTGGTACGCTTGAAGCTGTCCCAGAGGCTCCTTACACTATCTTCGTATTTTTGGATTCTTTTTTCATTTTGCTTTTCCGGTTGGGTGTTTTTTGCTTTTTCGCATTTCAAATCTTTGACTTGATTCTTGCGATCCTCTAGTCTGCTGTGGGAGTCTGTAAAATATTCCTCATTTCAGTCAGTGTATGCTTAATTTCTAGTTGGTCCTTTATCACAACATCGAGGGTCTCACTAGATTTCTTGTGGATCTCACTACATTTATCGGTGGTCTCACCAGTCTTTTTGGAGAAATTTGAAGGCAGAGATACTACTTAGGAGTTCCTTTCCCAGTAGTACAGACACCAAATGATGAGGAAATAAGTTGACTCAGTAACTGACCAAATGTCAGTCACTGAGAAGGAGGGAGGACAGTCTCAATACATCACTTCTTCAGGGAACCTTGATGTCTTCAATTATGCTACTTTGGATCCCCAACTTGAATGTCGTCATAGCAGCTCTCACAATTGTAATTAGTAGTTGAGTGAGTGGTGGGTTTTTGTTTTACTTTTTTAAGGCTATTTTCCTAGTTGCCTAAGCATGGGGAGGTCTTCTAGGTCAAACAATATTCATAATACTGAGCTGTTATTTCTCACAAGTGTGTAAAGGCTACATGATGTGTGATGTAAGAGATCATTACTGATCTTAATTGAACAGAGGATATTCTTAAATTTTCTAGAATTTCCTACGGTGGTAGGGTTAGGGTATGAATATTTGTTTTTAGGAGTTAACTTTTTAGGTTTTACTTTCTATAATCCCAGCAACCCTCAGTATTACATAATTATTAATATAAAATCCTGTCATTTTCTTTGTGCCTAAGTATAAACTGAAGTACATCCTGTTGTCTTGTTATGCAATAGTGCTGTAAATATTTGCTCAAA